GTATCCATCTAGTGTCAACTTTAGTGAGTTTGTTTCTTTATAATCTGGTTTATTCTAGTGGTTTCTAAAATTCTAAATTTTAACAAATTCAAACAAGTTTACTCCACTAACATACATATATCTCAAAACGCCTCATTTAGGCCATTCTGATTTAGTTGAGTAAGAACAGACAAACTAATTGACCTGTACTCGTTCTACAAATCACTGTGAGCCATGTGGTAATGCGATTTACCAGGAAACATTCAACATTTTTTAATTGTTAAAAAAGTTAGGAAAAAAACGGGTTTCTTCACGTTAAGAATTTACATTAGGTTTGCTAGAAAAAAGAAAGAAAAACAACATGTAAAACGTTTCAATGAATTATCTTAGTATTATCTCGTAAACATGTTACCGATCTCCGTTGGCAACTGGACGCAATGACTCCGATCACGTGAAAGATGAAAGGCCTCTCACATTTCAAAGTTCCATAACCATCACATTCCATTTTTCACGAGCTAGTCAATATTTAGTCATGTAACATTTGCAGGGATAAGTCACTCATGAAAGTTGAAGGAAGAACTATTAACCAAAAACCAAATGATAACAACCAACAATTAATATGTATTCAGCTCCTTCCCTTCTTTATACTAAAAGTTCAAGGGTTGTTCGGTCTTTGTTTAGGCAAACAGAGTGATCTCATTCTCTATGGCATCGTGGGAAAGATTTTTGTGACCAACAGTTTCTATGCATTGTTTATGTTTATAGTTGAAGATATATTGCTTAGAAATTAAACGTTGTATGATACGATGTTAATAAATGAAACAGCTGTTATACATAATAATATGAGAAAATTAGACAGGTAAAAGAACCAATTTTATCTAGTAAAAATAAACAGGATAAAGGAAACATTTTATAAAAATTTAATCCATTTTTATTTATAGTAATCTTAATCTAGCTAGGAAAAAATGTTTAATAAGTAGTATTTAATATAAATTCATACTCTTATATGGAATAGACGTATACCCTTACATTTAAAATATACCAGAACTGTCATTATTAACCATTTCAATATATAACTGTTTGCAATAACATATTTATATATATACTAGTAGCGTTGCCTGGGTTTTCGAGAGAAGAAAACCTACTCTCTCTGTTTCCCCGTTAATTATTTCGATAGGTAAAAAATATTGATGAATTTATGGGGGGAGGGGGGGGGACAAAAAACAACCTTAGATTTGATTTTTGAAAATAAACTACAAACCTGTTTTCAATCAGGGCTACGTTATGAACCATGTTTTTCGTTTTTCCTTCACTGGCAAGGATAAATAGGCCCTTATTGTTCCCCACTTTTGAGCATTCAATGGAGAATTGTCCATGTAAAAAACAGGGTGACGTCAATTCAAGCCCCACTACTTCCAGAGAATGGCCCTGTGCTTTGTTGCTTGATATCCCAAGGCTTAATTTGACTGAGAACTGCAGGCATTTGAACTGGAAGGGAAGTTGGTTGGAATTAATGGAACATGTGAGATTAAAACATGTTCCCTTTTGTTGTTCCCAGTAATAATTTTATTTTATAGGCCAGGCCTAGTTTTTGCTTTTTCACACACGACATTCCAATTCTGCATATATTTCTTTTGTGTGTGAGGTTAAATATATGATGTATAATTAGATCTATAATTATTGATCTATAACTAAATAGCCTTATCTATTCTAATGCTATATTCTAAATTAAATGTTAACTCAAACTTACCAAAAATTCATAAGTCTGCGTAGAATCACAACCATATAAAATATGTTAACGATAAAATCACTGGTTCGGTTAGCAGACGATAGACGTGTATATCAATGAAAAATTTTCGTTTTGCGCACCTTCACGTGAGGGAAGTGTGTTCTGCGCAGTGAACGTGGAGGACAAACAAGCAAGCAAACAGAGAAATTTTGAGTTGTATATATATAGATATATAAACTACAAGGTGTTTCTTTTATTGTTGCCTTTTTTTCTACATTTGTTAACGATAAAATATTTATTTGTATATTTCTAATAATTTGCTGAAAGTAACAGCTGTAAATAGCTTACATCTTGTATTGGTAATATTCTTGTAGTTCTGCCTCACTATTGCAACCGTTTTAATACGTCTCCACCAACATTATCTATTGTTCGAAATTTAATATTGGGTTGGGCCATACACTGCAAGCAGCAGATTTACGATTGGCCTTTTCATCCTTGTGCTTAAAAACCACCCTGATATGCAGATAAGAATCATTTTGTGTGTGCACTTCCCATAATTCCTTATGCATTTGCGCGAAATATCTCGTCCGACGTTAAACGATTTTTTATATAGACTATTCTAAAGACCCACATTGACTTTGCAGCTAGCCCTTGCATAAATGATCATAAAAATAGGTAGAGAAAGTTTAGGTTTTATAAAAGTTGTTAAACAATCTGCCATATGATTTTACAGTAGGAGAAATGCAAATGTATTTCAAAGGGGACTTGACATATGTTTGAGGAGTATAGAAAGCACTAATAACACAAATAGATTTGGATAAAGACAACGCAACAGAAATTGTTGGTTAAATCAGTGAGGAAGACCTAAAGAAAATGGAAACACACAAACCAGTTTACAGATTTAGAAACCAGAGTTAACGTTCGCATGGTCTAATTACTATTAGTATCCTAATTATTTTTTTAACTTACATAATTGTATTTTCGCAAGTTCGGGTAAGTGTTTTTTGTTGTTTAATTAATTAGAAACACTTGTATACGAGATTCGCATGCAGGTTCTTCTTGTAATTAGAAGTTGTGGTTTTAAACCAAAAGGTCAAAATACTTCTTCAGATTCAAAGTGTCTATTTTTACGTCAGTCGTAACGCGAATTCAATTGGCAGATAGCGAAACTGTTAGAGTAGGAATATTATCAAACATGGCCGGTAATTTCCCGACCTTGTTATCAGCCCAGTGCAATACTTTAAACATGAAGTTCAAAATGCAGGTATCTCTAAGTGTAGCAGGAAGTGGGCCTACTCTGTGATTAAGCATGCCATAACCAACCATCAAAAGTTGATTATTAATGTAAGATCAAAATGGCATTACCTAAACAATGCGTGGTTATGGTGGAAAAAATGCATTGTGCATGTGTAGTCTTAGTGGCGTAAACATACAAGCATTAACATAACTATTGCCTTTTAGATTATATAATAAATATTTTGCCACTTGAACTATGACTTGTAATAAACAACAAAACTATCTCTACGTAGAACTGACGCTACTTTTCAAACATCCTTAGAGAGGAAAAAAGAAGCGGAAGTGGAAAATTTCGACATAGCTGGGCTGGACTCGAATGCATTAGTCTATTGCATGGAAAATGATTTTTTTGTACTATGATATATGATATATAAAGTTACACTTTTCTACTTTTATACCCGTCTTTGTAAGGTATTTTGGACTTTTTGAGACAACACTTTAGAAAACCAAATAATGATATAGGAAACTGACGTCACACCGAATGCAAAAAGTGTCACCTTTATCTTTTACTTCTATTGAGTATATTTATATAAGTTGTAAAATTAGCTTCTAACAATCACAAAATATTGTGATATCATGCTTATCTATCACCGAAAATGATCGTCATTAAATTCTTTGTTTTTCATTTCGTGAAATAATTTGAGCTTTTTTTTTTTTAAGAGCTGTATATCTTTATAACACACTATTCTCCTACAAAATGTTTATATCTGTACACGCATCGCATGTGTCCACAAAGTCAAAGTTTGTGTAGATAGATGAGCGTATTGAAAAGAAATATGCCATATAACTTATAATCTAAACCAATATTTTGTATAAAAGACATAACTAAATTCACTATTTCTTTGTATTATTTTGGCTAACTCGTATATTGCACATCACACGTGACTCCGTATTTGTGTGAGTTCTTTATGTCGCGTTCTGGAAATCATTATGTATCTTGCGTTCCGTAAATATTACAATTTTCCTGAAAAAAATAGTCTTGCAATCAATTGCTATATGGTAAAACTTAGATATAGTACACACATTGCATAAAAACTGCACACGTTGAAATATATCCTTAAAATAAAGCCTATTATTAATATCAAGAAAAACAAAACATACTTAAGAACATGTAAATCTCTTTAAGAAAGGATGAACAGTTTAATATATTTCACATATATATATATACTGAAAAATAACTTGGCAGTCATGCTTCATTTAAATCGAAGGTTTGTTTGTTTGTGATTAAATACAAAGCTACACAATAGACCATCTGTGATCTGCCCGCCACGGGTATCGAGACCCCGTTTCTAGCGTTGTAAATTCACAGACATTCCGCTGTGCCACTGGGGGGGGGGGGCGTAGTTTTGTGTGTGTGTTTTTTCTTATAGCAAAGCCACATCGAGCTATCTACTGTGTCCACCGAGGGGAATCGAATCCCTGATTTTAGCGTTGTAAATCCGAAGACTTGCCGCTGTCCCACCAGGGGGCTACATCGAAGGAAATAATGTATTCCAGCAGCATTTCTATATTCTTAGTAATTTTTAATTTTCAGTCAAACAAAATTTTCAGTATAAACTGAGAATAGTATCCTAGAAAGAGAGGTATTTCCAGTATCAGGATTCAGCTATCACATTATACCTTCATCTGCAAGTCTTGCGTGTGAATTGAAATTTAAAACGTCGTAGGTGCTCAATCCAACAGTTTTATACGTTTGAACTACTAACCACTATATATGTAGCTGATACTTGTGATAAGATATTAAATTGTAATAGAAAATATGTATAACTGATTAATAATTTGAACAGAAATAATATCATTAATCACTGGGTTGATAAAAACAACTTATTTCATGAAACTTATATTATATATATCAAGACAATATAGGCGTCTCTTGTGAATTTTCCACGAAGAGTTAGGTTTAGAGGTTTAGGGACATTTCAACTACATACAAAATGGTTAAATATACACGTGTTTAAGGACGACAGGAAAACAGGGTACATCCTCCATCCTTAAGATAAGCTCGCATACAGGAAAGGCAGAAGCTAGTGTTAACAAAGGTTTCACAACAAAACAACACTATTTTCTTAATCTGACTTTCTAACCTATGTTTATTCGTCAGGAAAGTTCCAAACGCTCATTACATGTTCAAGAGAGATAGGGGGTAAAACATCTATTCGTATTTGGGAGGTATCATAATTTATGACAGGGTGAGTATAGCATCATGTTTCTATTTCTTTCTTTCTTTTTATCTCATTTCCTGTGTTTGGTTTCGAGTAAATATTACAATGTTGTTTTTATCTGATTGATAACCAATATCTGGCTTTGTTGTTTTCCAAATGTGTTCCTTTTTTCACGATTTTGCAGGTTTCACAATATAAACCGAATAAATGCAAATCTGCTACATACTTTGTGTTTGGTTTCGTGGATTTCTGTACGTAACAGAGAAAATATTTCTATTTTTAACTCATATTTTATGTTTGATTTTATGATTTTCAGCATGCAACCAAGTCAATATTGCAATGTAATCCTTACATTTGTTAAACGTTATGCTTAGAAGATAAGTAGGTTGTCCAATTCTTTTATTAGTATGAAAAAAAGACAACAATATCAACTTTATTCGGGTACAACCTTTTAATAGTTCATTCTTTCTACGATATTCTCGTAAATTTTAGAAAAACAATTATACAGAAAACAATTCTAGTACATAATACATAGGCTTTTGATGAAACTTTAAAAATACAGTGTGTATTATAAAGTGACACACATTTAAATATAAATAAATTACACAAAAGATACAGTTTTAAATGTTGCAGTTTAAGCGCTGAAAGCTGAGGAAGCTTCAGAATCCAATAGGCCTAAAATTTGTGATAAAAATTACGTTAACTGGTTTTGATTTTTATTTGGTGGTTTTATACTGGTTACCATTTTTGTTTGTCCTTCTTAGTATTATCACAAGAGCGATAAGCTGTTTCATATCCAATTCCAAACTGTGATAACCCTGCTTTCTACACTTAAAATAACCGTTACAGCGCACAACAGTACCATTAGATAATATTCATTTCTGGAAAGGAAGTGTCTTTTACACACCACATAACTGCAATAAATATTTAATTCTAATGAGAACAAACTACAATAAATAGCATAGAGGGAGCTCAAGTATATTTTATTTTGCATTAATATCATTTAATCTATTCTGTGTTTTCAAATAATATGACTTTATAATTGTTTGTAGTTCATGGTACAACCGATATGTGATGTAAATAGATGGTTGCTCTGGTTCATTTTTAAGTGACTAGAATTATATGGTTAAGATTTCTGCCTTGAGAGAAAGTTTTAATGAAGTTGGGTAGTTAATGGCAATGATACTAAATTAATATTAACTTCTGATCAGATCAAGCTACCTACTTAGGTAAAAGCGAAAAATATACCTGGTAATGAGCATGGCTAACTAAACTAAATATTTTTGTTATCAGTTGGGTATCCTCGCTGTTAACGATTTTTTTTTCAACGTAAAGGTAATGCTTCAACGGATGAAGCGTTTTAAGACTTTGTATAATTAGTATATGACGTCCTCTGGTGGTTTAAAGCACATTTCCTTAATCAGTTATGACAAAATAATAATGATAATAACCGTTTCACTATTTGCCCTTCAAGGTCGGAACCTGTCACTTTGTTACAAACTTATATTATTTATGAAAGTATATAAATTCAACAAATGTTATACGTAAAGAAATCGGTAATTGTTTGTTTGTTTTGTTCACGACCAATCTGTGACGTAAACGTGATTCTCTCAGTACAATGTTTCTTTTCTTTCAAAAATATATGATGTGTCAAGTTTAGATATGCTGGTATCTTGTTTAGCAAAATTTTTTATTTTAATTTTAATGCCTTTTCACTTATCTTTAGTATCATTTTTTCATTACGCTACAGAAATATATGTAATTTTATACGTGTAAGTCTATGCAATTTGAAAATAAAAGGATTTACAACTTTTAATACACCACACAACACGGAAGAACTAACTTTATTCACATACATTTTACAGATTTCTATTACCAAGTTTTGTTTTATGACAATAGATGACATGAACTAAGTCATATCCTTAATGATATTTTGTGATGCTTTGTCGCGTCATCTAGTGTTAGTTTTGCAACTTCCTATTAAAATACTTAGAAAATATTCTATAGCATTTCAATTTTTAAAACGTAAGTCTAAAGAACTAATTCAGTGTAAGTTTAGTACCTTCTATTGCGTTTTTCGTAAACAAAACAAAACCAGCTTTCTGAAATTTAAGAGTTCTACAAAAATTTCACGTTTTTTCGAAACATTCTTAAAATAATAAATATTATAAATATTATATTATTTACTGAATGTATATATATTCTATTATTTACTGAACGTATTTCATATAGCTGAAATTTAATTATTCTCTGGGTATTCCATAGGTTGAAACAGAGAAATAAAGTTTAAAAATTTATGGATATTTGGTTTTAAATCATCGTTACAACAATAACTTATTAAATATTAATAACGGTGAGGTCAGTACATATTTTCTTATGTTTGACTTTGTTATTTTAGCTCACTCCTAATATTAAATATGACAATTTTAATCTGAAGTGTCTAAAGACAATTTTCTTTTTTCAGTAAGAGCAGAATAACTGTAGGTTTGATCACTTTTAAACATAGATACCAATAGATGACGCTAGCATACGGTTATATCCAATATCACATTTAAAATCGAAACCTAGCATACGCGAAGAAATAATGTATTTCGTTAACTTTCAACTAGAACAACTAACAACGACAAAACTGTTAATTTTCCAAGAAAAAAATGAAACCGCTTACTTCTGACTCGAACAGACTTGTTAGTTTAACTAATAGAGGCACTCCATATAGTTTAAAAATTATAAACACCACCGTTAATGAGGCACAGATTCTTTACACTGTGATAACCAGTAAATTTTAACATAAATCTATGAATGCTAGAAACAGAAATTAAATACTTGGTGGCGCTTTATCTTATAGTTCGGATTATGAAATATTTCGAAATATTTTACATATAAAAATAATAATAATAAAGTTTGTTGCTACAAACAATTAATTATTTTAATCATTGCTGGAAACGATTTTGGTTAAGCACAAAGCTAAACAATGGTTATGTATGCATTGGCCATCAAGAATATTGAAACCCAAATTTTAGAGTCATAAGCCTGTAGACTTACCACTGAGCCACTGAGAGTCAGGCA